GGGAAGGACAGGTGAGCTTGAGGGCACTGTTAGGAAGGATGTGCCAGGCCTACAGGGTGCTGGTTGGAGGGTCTCTAATTTCTGCTGCGGACACTGAAATGAGGGGTGATAGTGACACAGGGGTCAAAGGCCAAGATCATCAGGTCTAGGCACAGGCACTTGCTTAGAGTTATGCCAATGACCTGTTACCATTGTGTGGATGCTTCCTCACCCACCAGCTGAAGATTAATATACTCACATTTCATCTTCTTCTGACTTCTCAAGCTCCCCAGAGCCCTCTCAGGCATCTGGAATTTTTGCGCTGCTATCCATGGTGCACAATTTATATCCATCCCATATGGCTGGGCACATCTGCAAAGCATCCATTTATTTATAGTTCCAAACAGAAGCTCTAGGCAAGACCAGGGCCAAGGGAGAGCTACAGCCTGACAGCCAGGCACATTCATTCTCCAGGACCACCTCAGGAAAAGATGGGAGCCCTCACTGAATCCACCATCACCCCAGAACTAGGTGTAGCAGGGACATCAAGTCCTCCTGAGGCACCTGCCCAAGGCTGCTGGAGGGTCTCCTCTCCTTCTGCAGCTTCATGCCAAGGTACCTGTCAAACCCCAGCCACAGCAGAGGGGCCACACTGGAGACCTAGCTGGTCTCAGCCTCCCTTCACTGCTCTGTGTGACCTTGAGCAAGTGCACTTAACCTTCATATAACTCTGCCTCCTTACCTGGAAATTGGGAAGAACAAGAAAAACAGGTTGTATGCATAGCACTTGGCTCTATACCTGGAGTGCGAACACCAGCTATTTCAATAGTCATTTACATCATCACTATCCTGGAAGCAGGACATTGTACTGCCAAATGTCCTGGATTACTAGAGGTTTATTAAATCAGCCATCTTCCTATTACTCCAGCACACAAGACTCTGCTTAGAGTCCAGTAATAATACTATGATGAGCCCTGTACCTAGATCTGGGGAGTTAGTGCAGTGAGTGGAATCCTCTCCTAATAAAACCTATGTCAGACTAGCCACAGGATAGGAAGTTTTTGTTCTCTTATGATATTAGCTCCTACTTCCTGGTACCTTCTCTAGATAGGTGCTTTTGACATAGTGCACTGGACCCAGTCGGACACCTTCCAGACACTTTCACAGGTAAAGGAAATTAGCACTGAGTGACAGTAAGGAAGGTCCCAGGCCACATGAATAGCAGAGCTGCTGTCTGTACCCCCCTCCCCTTCCCACACCATGTCTATGAGGGAGGGAGCCAGAGTTCTCTGCCCTCATATGCCAGGGATCCAGCAAAAGCCTTCTAGGAGCACTTCTGGGGACATTTATCTGGGCTTTTTCAGGAATCACAGATGTCTAGCATCACAGATGCGCCAGATCTGAATGCCCCAGTCAGTGTATGAGAACTTTCCAGAGCACCCTCCCCAACCCTGCACCCACACAGCCCCCAGGAGACATCTGCCCCCACCAGCAGCCCTCCCTGTCACTGGACGGGCACTTACTAAAACATCTTCCCAGGCCAGGGGCAGGGTTCACACCTCTAATCCTAGCACTCCAGGAAGGCTCAGCAGGTGAATTGCTTGAGCTCAGAAGTTCCATATCAGCCTGAAAAAGAGTGAGACCCCCCTCTACTAAAACTAGAAAAATTAGCTGGGCGTTGTGGTGTGTACCTGTAGTCTTAGCTGCTCGGGAGGTTGAGACAAGATTGCTAGAACACAGGAGTTTGAGGTTGTTATGAGCCACGATGACACCTCAGCACTCTACCCAGGGTGACAGAATAAAACATAAATAAACAAATAAATAAATAGGGCTGTTTCCTGGAGAGATTCCTGCACAGCCCACCAGGCAGCTCTGCTTCTCACAGGCAGAGAGAATATTTATTTATATTCATTTATAAATATTAGTTGTCTATGTTTTGAGACTTTGGGAAAAAAAATAAGAAGAAGTTAACTGATGACTCCATACTGAACCTCAGAGTCAAAACATTCTATAATAGACATACTCTTATTTGATAAGGGAATGTCACTTTTTTGCATTTTTATTATTACTCAATAAAAAAGTAATTAATTAATTAAATTTAATAAAACATCTTCCCATACTTTGAGCTAAAAACTCCAGCCCACTACTTCTCCCCACTAGCCCAGGTTTGGACTCCTACGATGCAATGGAAATTGTGCTTTTTTGTGTAATATCCAGGTCACACCACCGTCCTGAGCAGCCAGCCCCCTGGCACTCTGTGCTTCACAAACTGCTGTAATTTGAGATTCCCTTTCTGTCACCCGCAGTACTTTTCCACATGCTCTCTGTCCTTACCTCTGTCCTTCGTCCTCCTCTGCCTCACACATGCCTGTGAGAAGCACAGCTGCCTGGTGGGCCGTGCAGGAATCTCTCCAGGAAACAGCCCTCTCTCTTTCCCCAGGGCCCATTAGTGACTGCAGGGTCAGGACTGGGTTTCTGGGGCTTCACCACCTTCTCATCCAAGTTTTATTTCAAGATTCCTGGCTCCCTTTTCTCTGAACTCTGAGAGGTCTGAGGAGCTTGTCTGCCCTGGCAGCCTTTTCCCTGCTCAGGGGGCTCCACAAATGGGCTTAATGGCGTAGCAGAGGCTCAGCTCTGCCCCAGACCTCTCTGCGGTTTCTTCAGGAGGGCCCTCTCTGCTGCCTTCACATTTTGCTTTTGTAACAGGCCCTACTCTCCTTCCACCAGCCCCCTCTTCAGTGCCTCTTAGCAGGGCAGCCCCGGTGAAGCCCTAACCCTCAGCCCCGCTAGTGCTCAGTCTCCCCCAGCCTGAGCCCCAGGCACGGAAAAAGCCCCCTGTGGAAAAAGCTGTGCAGAGAGCTCAGCAGACACAATCCATCCTCAGAAACCTACCTCAGCCCCTCCCACACTTAGGAACAGTAAGTTTAGCAGCTCTGGAGCATCCGCTGATGCCCCACTGGTGCTCACCTCATGGACCATGAGCTGGTCACGCCCCTTGCTGGACCCTCCTCGTCATGAGATAGTTGACCATCCTGGCCAGGTGGACCCAAGAGGAGGGAACAAAGCTCATCCTCTCACCTCTTGTTAAAAGGGACCAACACTCTCCAAGACACCCACCAGCACACACCCCTCCTGGGCTGTTTGACCAGAATTGGGTCACACTCTCCTTCCTAAAACAGTCTCTGGGAAGGTGAAAGGCATGGCCATGACCCCTGGACTGAGCAGACCCCACCAACCCAGGCCTGGAAGGAGTCCCGATCTTCAGAACATACAGGTGTCAGATATAAGACAGTGTCAGCTGCTGCTGGCTGGGATAAAGCAAGTGACTGCTGTGTGGCCAGCCAGAGCTTCCCAACCTGCGCAGAGAGAGATGGTTCCTAGAGGAGTTGGAGCTGCTGGGGCTGCTGGCACGCCCCCCCCCCACAGTGGCTCTGTCTGTGCCATGTAGTGTGTGCTGCTGAGACCCAAATACCACCATCTGGGAAGCAGGGTGTGTAGTGTCAGGACACATCAAACTTTGACAAGCTTGGAATTGATAGTTTGCTCATAAACACAGTCTGCTAACCCAAGAAAAAAATAAGTACAGCGTACATTTCTAAACTCAATCTTGAGGATGAGCAGAGAGGTTTTTAAATTCATTTAAGGGTAAAAAATACCCCCCCCAAAATATGATAGTCTTTATGGAAAGCCCTAATTCCTGATCAAGTGAGTTAATAAAATTGAAATAATTTTAATAGCAAAAAATATCTGCTCATTACATGAGGAAGCAGCATCATCAACAAGGAAAAAGCAAAACCAACTATTCCTGAGTTTTCCATTACTACACATGGTCCTCGACTTACATACCGTGTTCAACTAAATGATCTTCGATTTTACGTTGGTGCAAAAGCAATACATGTTCAGTAGAAACCAAACTTCACATCTTCAAATTTGGTCTTTTCCTGATTATAAAAGGGGCTTTTCTTTCCATAATTTTGCCCAGATGTAGGCTAATGTAAGTGTTCCGAGCGTGGCTAAGGGAGGCCAGGCTAGGCCAGGGAGTCTGACAGGTTAAAAATGCATTTTTAACTTACAGTGTTTTCAGCTTACAATGGTGTTTATCAGAATGTAACCCTGTCGTAAGTCAAGGATTGGTTTGGTTTTAGTTTTTTGCCTTATTTATTTGGATTTTTTTTTTTTTTTTGTCTATTCCACATGAGCAAAGGGTAAAATATTTCAGAAAAACACCCAGGAGGAAAACAAAATCTTGGTATCATTCAGTCCAGTATGTCAATTAGAAAGTTAAGAAACAGTGAAAGCCCACCATTGTCCAGTTTTGGCAGCCGGGTTCCTTGGCACAGCTCCGAGGACACTCATACTTTTGAGAACTACCAATCCAGCCAAAACCTCTCATTTATTTTCTTCAAAATTTACGAAGTCTCACAGATACCTTTGGGTTTCCCCAAGGTCACCCAGTTAATTATTGGCATAGCAATTTCCCTCCCAAAGAATCAAAGTAATTTCCCCATCCCATGTCAGAGATTTCTGTCAAGGATAAAGGCAAGCCTCTGGGTGGTATGGCCTGAGCTAAGAACGTCTGGGCAGAGTCCAAACCTGCCCCAGGCTGGAAAAGCTTCCTAATCCACCTATAGGCAGAAAAATGAAGCTTGGAACTCATTTTACAAGTTGTTTCTACTGGAGGCTTAAAGACACATCCCTCTCGGCCACATGCACACAGACAGAGCTCCAGGTGCACGGTTCCAGCTTGAGATGAACACCCCAGCACCCCTTCCCAGGGCGTGAGGTCCAGGGGTGACTTTCTAGGCACTGCCTGATCAGGAAGGGCCTGGGCTGGCTCCCTGGCTCCCTCCTCCCAGTCAGAAACAGTTAATTGCCAGCTCCAGGCCGCCTCCAGCCCAGCCCTCACCACCGATCTCAGGCAGCTGCGCCAGGCCAAGCGGCTCCAGGCCAGGCTGGAGCTGCAGAGTAGCAGGGTCATTCTTCCAAGGTAATGATTAAACCAAGTGCCTGGCAAGGGCACCGGCTGAGGAGCCGGGAAGGTGAGCCCTATTCACACCTCGGCCGGGCTGCAGTGGCCAGGACTGGTTTGGGAAGGCAGGGCCCCAGGCGGGGGGCCCCTAAGCTGGCAGCCACAGCCTCCTGCCTGCTCACGGTTGTCCGGGAGCATCCCAGGGCCAGAGCCTCTGCCACCTGCCCTGCTGGGACTCTGCCTTCAGCCCCATCACCATGAAGCTCCAGGGGTTCTGGACTGGGCTGGAATACACCTGCCGGCTGCTGGGCATCACCACTGCTGCAGGTAAGACCCACCTCCTGCTGCCACTCCCTGCACAGAGGCACAGCAGACAGAGCTGCCCAAGTGGTGGGAGGTGGCCGGGAGACAGCAGGCACAGGTGGAGACCTCTGTGCTTCAATTTTTTCCCAAGATCCCAGAAAACTGCTCTGCAGAGCAGCAGCAGGTGTAATGGGGTGGGCTTCAGGCCAGGAGCCAGGGGCCTGGTGCTGGATCTCCCAGGACTTTCAGAAGTCTCAGGGTTCACATCTATGAAATGAGTCAAGGGGCTCCGCCTCACCTCCTCGGAGGGCAGTTGTGAGGGGGACATGGGGTGAGGTGAAGGCAAATGTGGTACTCAGGTCCTCCCTTATACTGCAGTTATAAAAATGGTCAACTGAGCCCACCCTGCTCTACTCAAACCACAGTTCTACCCCAGGGAGTGAGAATTCCCAGTCACCAGCCAGCTCTGCCCTGGGGACAAGCTGAGGTAGCCTACATATGGAGGTAGCAGGGTCCCCTCCAAGCCATCCTGGGCCTCATTAACAGAAAACTCTGGAGGAACCCAGGCCCTGTCTGTGACCTGTCTACTGGACGGCACTGGGGGTTCAGGGCTAGAGATAGTTCCCTTTGCTGACTTATCTCTCTCATCCTGCTGGTCACGGGGCTTCCCAACTGGCCAGGAAGACAGAGAGTTAGATCAGAGGCGAGGGCCACAATCCTGAGCTCTGCCTGCCCACTCCGCTGAGCAGACCTGGGTCCTCCACAGGGCTGGTTCTGAAGTGAACAGGTAGTATTCTGAGCCCTTTGCCTTAGGCCCTATCATGTCTAGGTGACAAAGAAGAGATACACACTCCCTAACCACACCCTTTCCAGTCACTGGGGGAAAGCCTACTTGTGATTCTTGCTGAATAGGAGAGACTCAAGTTGTGCTGACTCCAGCCCCAGCCATCCTGTCACTTGGCCCATGTGTGACCTTGGAGGAACCACCTGGCCCTTAGGATGGTGGGCCTGTTGGCCAGGTATTTTGACAGATCAAGGATGTCAGGAACTGAGACTAAGCTAAGTGAAACTGAGGATGAAAACCTCTGGGCAGAAGCCCCCATGACACATTCCAGAGCTCAGGGGGGTGGGCGGGGGATCATTTGGGGAAGCACGTGGGTTCCCCACATGTTGGCCAGTAGGGTCTTTCAACATCTAGGCCATTAGTTAGAGCAGGAAGGCTGCTGGGTGGTCTAATCCCTCCCCACCCCATCCCACCCCACCCCCATTACATAATGGAGCACCTGAGCTCAAACAGGGATAGTGACCTTGCCCAAGGTCACACAGTAAGTCAAAGGGACAGCCGGTATGGAAACCTGGTCCCTCAATTTTCACAAAGGCTGGGGCTCTGGCCAAAGCCCTCCCTGCCTTCCATGGTAGGAAACCCTGCCTAGTGGGCACGAGGAAGGGGTCCAGAGCTGCTCTACAGAGCACTGAGTGGATGAGTTGGTGGAGGAACCAGCCCAACCTCTCTCAGACAATGATGTCACCTATGCATAAGGAAGTGGCTGCCAAGATCCCCAACAGCCCATCCTGGGAAGAAGGTCACCTCAAATATGTTTCTGGGTCTGGGCTTAGAGCCTTGTCTACCAGTCCTGACAAGGCCACCTTGCCCCTTCTAGCTCTTGGTTTCCAAGTACGTAAAATGCCAGAAATCCCAGTGTCTATCTCCCCAGCCCCGCTCCACCCAGACCAGAGGCTTGCCTCCTATTGAGAAGCTGTTTTAAGATGTTTTATCTATCCTTCTAATGGATTAGCCAAAGATAGTTTAAGAGTCTGATTTACCTCAACCAGCAGAAAAGTCGGTAGCTCTGCTCCCAACACACACACACACATTCATAATGCTCCTCTTAACCACATCCTTATCTCTGTGCAAAGAGCTGCTGTTAACGCATGGGATGGACCAGCCTCTTGGTTTTCACATAAGATCCAAGCTAAAAATAGGCCATGAGTTGCCTTCTAATGGCAAGACTTCCAAATGATCCTTCTGGGGCTTTCTAGAGTGCTGAGCATGTGTGGGAAGCAACGGAGAGGGGCTGTGGCACTCTCGGACAACCCTTGAATTTCTCCCACCATTGCTGAACTCCTGGCCTATTTCCAGTGTGTAAGATTTACACATTCCTTATTCACTTAAGCTTCTTTTTTGTTAAAATCCTCTGTTGAGAAATTCAGGCTTCATTTACAGGGGCACTGCTGCTGGGGAGGAAACAAGACTCAAAGCAGAGGCCCTTGCTTTGCAGAAACCCTGGTGAGGGGACCTACGGTAGCCCCTTATCCCCCTGCACGTAGGGCATGTAGGTTTTCCAGAAGGTAGGAAGGCCTGTGACCCAAGGGCGACCAGAGTGTCACCTGCAAGTACCAGGCAGTACCTAAGAGCCTTCTCCCTGGACCCCTGCAGACGGGATCAGTGGGTGGAGGAGGAGCTGTGGGAAATGCTGAGGGCACCAGGCCCAGGTGCCACCACCAGGAGGGCAGAGGCCCTGCACTGAGCTGCCTGCTCCTCCCCTCCTAGACCGCCTGATGAGCCTCCTTAGGATGTCGAGCAGCCCTATCTGCCATTGCTGCCCCATCCTAACATCCAGCCCGCACCATGCGGTTCCAAGCACAGCTCATCACCACTGTCAAATAGGATAAACAGGCCATGGGCAAACTGCACCCTGCCCAGGTGTTTCTAAAATTAGAAAATTCTGTCCCTTTGGTGCAGTAGTGTACTTCAGGTCATCACAGACCACTCCCTCCATTGTCCCACACTAGGCTCCTTTGCATCATCTCCCAGCCTGGGAATGCATCAGGCTGAATGTGTGTCCACGCCTGTGTTCATGTCTCTGCACACACACATGTGCCCTCTACGTGGCTCAGTTGCTGAGCTGTGGCATCAGGTGTCACCCGCAGAAGCAGACCCAAGTGGAAAACCGTGCACAGACCTGTGCAGTTGCCAGAATACCTGCCAGTTCATTCCTCAAGCAGGTTCTCCTATGTCCACCGAAGGGCACACTGAGCGAGAGACACGGGCCCCAGGCAGGCCGTGGACCACTCACTGGAAAGGGGACTTGGGACGTGGTTTTAAGTGAGATGGGAGCACAGGGGTCCAGGGCACTTCTCTTCCGTAAAATGAGAAAGGGTCTGTCCCCATCGCCATCTAGGAAGGCAGGGTTGGCCTCCCTTTGCACTTCAGCCGCCCTCTCACCCTTCATCCTCCAGGAACTCTCTGATAATCTCCTCACTGCTCCTCAGCCTGGCAGACAGCAGGAGGAGAATGGGAAGAGCCCTTTGCACAGGAGCCAGTGACTCCTCCTTGGGCTGTGCCCTTGCACACAGCCGGGCATGGCCTTCCCCACTGTCCCCAGGCACTTGGGCGAGGCTCCCAAGATTCCTCAGAGCACAGAAGCTAAGCTTGAAGCTTCTCAACACCAACACTTGAGGGCTTCATTTCACTTTTCCAGGCTCTGCTCGGGTAGTGATGGCCAGTGATAGGCATTCCCATTCGAGTGTTCACTGTGAGCCAAGCTCTGTGCTACATGTTTTAAATGCAGTATTTCCTAACTATCCTCTGAAACATCATCAAGCTCAGCCTTATAGCCATTGTACAGAGAGAGAAACCAAGGCTGATAGGATGAAGCAACTCACTCAAAGGCTCACAGACAGGAAGCAGGGAGGCGACTTTCCATTTGATGGCAGTCTCCTCCCGAGACCCCACTCCCGATCACTGTGCCCTCCACTTACATCAAGTTAGAGGGCATGTCTCTCCCTCCTTATCTTGACAACCCCAAGATGCAGGATACACAGAGGCTCCAGGAGGCCTGGAGCTGCCCGGCATGCACCCTAGTGCCCCTGCCCTCAGTTAGCCCTGACCATGCAGGAACTCAGGCAGGTGGGGTCATGGTGAGGACAGACACAGCCGCAGGAGCACGTAGTCAAGGACCACCAAATCTAAGAACACTGATATTCAACCTAGCTGCCTATTCTGTCCCAGCATGGTTGCCATGCATGCTTTAATTGGCACCACCAGGACACTCTCCAGCCAAAGCCACTCCAGGACACTCTCCAGAGACAGCCAGATCTGCAAACATTTCCAGAGAGAACTATCAGAGTGGGGCCTGGCATCTGTAAGCACAGAGAGGGGACGGGCAGATCCCTCGTGGTCCTTTCCTTCATGCTCAGACAGGCCTCTGTCTACTGGTTCTGTGGCCTCTGCCAGGCTACCTGAGCACGCTGAGCCCCAGTTTCTTCTTGTGTAAAAGGGAATTAAGCATTGGTAGGTATGTAGCACACAGCAGGGGGGTAAGGAAGGGCTCAGCAGAGCCCACAAGGACATAGGCGGATGGAGACTGAGCCACTTTCCAGCAAATCTGCCCGTTCTGGTGTGTTGTTTCTCACAAGTCAAGTGCTTGGGGTCAACCTAGAATCATTTAGGGGTTTTGTTTTGTTCCAGGTTTTTGACCCATTAACCTGCTTCTCTACGTGAGAGACACAGCCACATTCCCAGCAGCCCCAGTCCTCACCTCATACTGTTCAAAAGGGAGAACTTAATGATATAGATTAGGACAGAAGAAGCATTTAAAACCCAGGTGTTATCATCACTTTTTAAAAGATACAGCAAATGTATAGTTTGACCTTAGCCCGGCTCAAAGCTTTCAAGAGAATTAATGTTTCTGACACAACCATCTTGGTCTCTCCATGCTAATTTCCGCCCTCTTAAATGTATATCCCCATGACAACCTCCGGCCATTTGAGAAAGCTTCACACACTCCAGCATGTCTGCAAGTGACTTATTACCTAAGCGAGACCACATCGTGCTTCCAGATCTTCCAAGTGAATGATGACAGCTTTTTCCCTTACCAATACAATTGTCTCTGTGAGTAAACAAAATCTCCCTCCGCCTGTTCTTCCCACCTACCACTGAAAGGCAATAGGATTGGTTTGAGCACTTGTTTCTTTACTTTTCTGTGCCTGTATCTTCCTTCTAGATTTGAGATTAAAAATCT